AATGTCTCATGGTCTCAGCCTGAGCCTGTTTCCTGCGCGGGCTCAGCAGTGCAGTGGGTGAGAGGGGGGGGGGGGGGGGAGGAAAACAGCAAGCCCTGCTGTTTCTTCACTGCCTTCATGCCTCATGCTGGAAACTAGTTTCTTCCCCAGCTTTGCCTGTGGCTCGCTTCTCCAGCTCTTCAGTGTGGGGAAAACTTTTACTGAAGAATAAGAAATTTGGTAGAATGGAGAAAGTTATGATGGAAGTAGGAAAAAGGAGGAAGCCGTAAATGTGACGTGCAAGAGGAGGATTGTGTACATTGGGAAATTTGGATCGACCTGTGCTGCTTTGATCCATTTATAATGCCTGAGTCCATGTGACAATTTCTCCATTTTCTGTTTTTCCAACCTGATAGAAGAATGCGAGATAGTGAGCCTTCGGCATTTCAAGGTATATTGCGCTGAGAAGAATAAATATTAGTTCGAAAAGTGCAAAAATGAGAATTAAATTTAGTTGCTGGCCTTGCTTGTTTTAAGCAAGAAAACTGTTGATGAAGTTGCTTATTGAAATAGGCATATCCCTGCCTTTCCATCAAAAAGATATACTCTCTTAAAAGCACAAGGCGTACGCAATTTTATCTGTTCACAAGAACCAGGTCATGTCCTTGGTGCGACGCAAGGCAAAAATACAAATTTCTAATTTCTCCCATTTCATCTGCTTTGAACATAATCCTCAAAGAACCTTGCTGAGACTTTAAAACGGGCATTTCAGAAGGAGGGAGGAGGGGAAAGAGCAAAACCCAGCATATCCTTTAGCTAAGGAAGCTCTGAGGAATTCTCTTCTGAACTGGATCCAGGTGGTATTTCTATTCTTTATTGGGTATAGATTGATATTGTTGTGCTGAATGAGCTGCACAAGACCTTCCACCTTCATTTGCTCTGGTCCAGTTCAGGAGTTGCAAGTCCATAAGGCATCAATCTCTGATGATCTAGTCATTTTATGCCTTGTGGTAAAAAGGGAGGAGCGGGGAAAAAGGAGGGGAAAAAAGAAAAAAAGAAAAGAAGAATAAAAGGCAAAGATCCAGCTTGGAGGTGATGAACGCAAACTGGCATAGCTCTAGAAATCTCTGGATGGGGGGGCGGCAATGGTTATCCTGGTCTGTAATAGCAGATTACAGTAGTGAGGCAGAAATTATCTTGCTTTGGTGGTTTTATATCAACAGCAGCATTAGCACAGTTACAAGGAATTGGGGTTGTAACTTTGGAGAGAAGGCATGAGTCTTCATGCATGAGTTTTATTGGCTATATTTTGAAGTTATAAATCTGATGTTGTCTTGGCAATCTTCAACCAAATTTTTAACCTTGATGAGCAACCAGATTTCTTCAATATAAGGAACAGATACAGGCAGTCTGGGCTAGGAAAGTTGTCTTCAGAAGTGATGAACGGGGTTTTGTCACGTTGGATTGGCTTCAGTAGTTAGCGAAGGGCTCAAAGGCACTGGCTGTAAAGCAGTCTTCTGGAGCTGTGTGTCAGCAGCCCCTTGCCTTCTGGATAAAGAAATATATTTTAGATAAAAAGATCAAACTGCAACAGAGATCTGCTGAGTAATCTGTTCATAGTCCTGTGGGTGTGCGGCTTCTCAAAGGAACGTGTGCTGCAGGAGCTCTGTGTTTTGGTGTGAACAGAAGTCTGCCGGGTCGTCTCCTGTGGCAAGGCTGGCGCTGAAGGGTGTCGCTTTCTTCGGGGCTTACCAGGCCTGATCTGCTCAGTAAGAAATCTGAACCCTTCTCTTCATGTGAATGGGTGGGAGAACGGGAAAGAAGAGTAACTTCCTCTTTGAGCCTTTGCCTTTACATCCACGTCTCTTGGAAGACAAAAATGATGAGTTAAGGGATAAGCACGAGCTTTATGTTTTCATCCGCCCTGTATTTTGATCGTGCACTGTCAGCCCTTCTCATCAGCATGTTTTGAAATGGTTTTAGTTTGCATTATATTTAGACATGCGTTTTCTCTCTTGTACTCAGTGTAGGACATCTGTCACTGTTCACTTCACTAAAGGTTCCCTGCTTATAATCTGATATTCTTTTTTTTTTTTTTTTCCTCCCAGTGCATTTATGCATTGGTAATTAACAGCCCACATTATAATATGAAAAGGCTGTTATTTATTTAAGATGTATACAGGGAAATATATGGTAAAGTGAGACTACTTGAAGTATTCATCTGGGGAAAAAATGAATTCTTTGAAGCATGGGTCTGTTACATGAACATCGGTAGCTGTTCCCCTGCCACATCCAATTTGAGCTTTGCAACTGTTCGAGTATTTCCAGTTTTAACTCCACCGGGGAGTGGTGATTAGAAGTCGGCTTGGGTTTAAGATGGCTGAGGTGCCTATTTGACCAAGATGACAGTTTTGTTTCTTTCTGTCTGGTCACAGGATGCGAGATATAGGTTACTGTGTAACCAGTTCAGGCGTTATCCCTGATACTGGCAGCTCTGGGAGCACTGTTTCTGTGGCTGTAGCAGATGGTCAGGGTGGGAGCCGAAGGCGATGGATGGGTCAGAGTGGAAGGCATCAAAGCGGGCACAAACTGCGCTTGTGCTAGGATGAGATACCAGAGTATAAATATAACTTCAGCCTAGCATTAGAATGACTTCTGCTGATTTCCGCACCACCCCCACCACCCCCCCCGCCCTTTCCTCCCAGCGTATCCAGTCAGCATATACATACTATCCAAAGAACATGAAGCAGGAACCTGTCTTAGAGTACGTTATGTGTATTTTAAGGAGCTGGTAGAGAGATTGCCAAAATAATATCTGCACATTCATGCTTACTGCATTCGTGATTCTTCCAGTAATTCCATGAGATAAAAGGTATTATTCCCATCTCACAGCAATGGGAGAAAAGGAGAAAGAAATTACTTGCCTTACGCTGTGCCATGAACTGCTGGTGGAATTTAGTTGAGGTGCAGGAACCTTGCAGTGTTGGGTTCAGTCCTCTAGTAGCACCGTTAAGCACTGTAAAAGCCAAGTGGAGAAATTAATCTCTTGTCATAATTGGTATTTCAGTGACCAACAGGATCTAGACCCATCCCTACTTCGGCTCGCTAGTTGATATCTGCCCTGGTTTGTAAGGTCCAGGGAGATACCACTGAGCCAGCAGCGGCGTTCAGTTCAGACAAGACGAGGGGATGAGGTATTTCTGTTGGTCTGAAGTCTGAACTGCACTGTGCATCACAGGAACCCCAGCCATGACTCTCAAAATGGACTTCTTTTTGATAGCATTTAATAAAGAATGAATAAGTAGAGAATATTTAAGCTCCTGTTCCTACCAGGAGAAAACTTTTCTCTGAGAGATGTGAGGCGTGTTGATGAGGTTATGTGATGAAGCCTGTGTTCCTCTTCCACAAATTAATGCCATGGGTTTTCAGGAGATACACGAAAGCCTCAAAGGTCTCTCTTACGCTCTCTCTTCATCCTTCAGGATGAAATAGGCCTGTCTTGGTGTGCACCTAATGGACTTAGGCTTTAATCTGTTCAGAAGAGGGGCAGGCTCAGGGAAGGACTTGCCTTCTCCTTAACTGCTAGCTGGATAATTGCCAACTGATAATTGTGTGAGATGTCACTCGTGTTTGTAAAGAGCTGGCTAATACTGAAGTATTTTTTCAGTCAGCAGGTGGCAGGGATGATAGGATTAATGATACTGCATCCTATCTAACACCTTTTTTTTTTAAGGCTACATGGCTTAGAGGAATTAAAGATGGAGTTCATAGCTATGTTCACGTTAGAAGCTCATGAGTGGCTCTTGTGGAGTTCCTTAAGCTTTAATCGTAATGATAGGCACCGTACGTGACCCTCTGATAACAGAACACAAAATCTGTATTTCAACAGCAGCACCACACGAAGTAGGTGTTAATGTTGTTCATTTAAGTATGAAAATGTGTGGTGGCTAAAGAGTTTTCTTACCACATATTCCTGATGTTGGCCAGAGTTAATGATGTTAGTAGGACCAGTGTATTAGTCTAGTGTATTGGTCCTAGCTAGCTAGGATGCATGAATAGCAACCCCATGATCCAAATAAAAATTGGAATACCTTCTATTTTTGAAGTTGCAGATTGTATAGTAATTGAGGAAGGAAAAAAGTGATGTGTAAATGTGACCATTGGAGAAAGGAGTATTGTAGCAACAGCTGGGGAATGAAGTATAACAAACATAGCTGTGCTAATTTTACTTGCTTGTTTTCATCCATACCTGCAATTCAACATTTCACTCATTTTTATCTGTTAGGCTGTAAGATCCCTCATTTGTTTAGGGCTCAGTTACAATGGATATTGCAGTAAAGCCCCCAGTTTATCACGAATGTAATGAACTGATTTTATTTTAACAGCTTTTCCAGGCTGATATAAAACAGGAAAATAATGCTGCTGTTCTGTCTGCCTAAACCTGGTTAAACCTTGGTTGTACAAAAGTGGGGACTGAGTTGCCTACTCAATCTCAGGTGCTTTTTGTTGGTATTGCAAAGAGAATAGTATGGGAAATCATCTTCTATTACTAACCTCTTTTGCAGTGTGGAGGAGGGCAGGCGTGTAGGTGGAAATGTTATGTTTGCTTTTACATTGTTTACATTATTTTAACAGTATTCAAGGGGGATAGGCTTCCAACCATTCTGGCCGATACATTGTGTTATTGCAAGATAAGAAAATTAATATGGAAAATGAATGTCGTCTTGCCTTTTAGCACTGAAACTTTGGTAATATAACTGAGTAATTCTTGGATTTTGTGATGGATTTGTGGACCTTTAATTTAGAGAGAAATTGTACTCAAAGATGTCAATATTCTCAGTGATAAAGTAATTGGAAGTAAGACTAATAAATGTGTGAAAGCTGTTGCCTCTTTCCAACTTTAGTTGTTCTTTGGTTCCTTAATTTTGTCAGCTCCTCTATCTGTATATTAAAGTGTTCATTACAGTACTCTTACTTTGTGAGAAGGATTTTTCTAATTGTTTGCTTTTTTCTTGTTTCAGAACCGAGAGCTCCAGATTATGAGAAAGTTGGATCATTGTAACATTGTCCGATTGCGTTATTTCTTCTACTCTAGCGGAGAGAAGGTAAGAATAAAAAACAAGGCAATGTCTCCTGGTAACCATCTGGGGTATAACTGAACTGTTTGAATTTCTAGAGACAGGAGTGTGAAGATAGTAGACGTGATAACATTGAGAAAATGCTATAGTGGTGCCCAACAGATCATGTTGGAGCAGATGTTTTTCAGTATGGAAGTGTGTGGTCCATGAGGAGTACTGTTATTAGTATAGCACAACAATAGCGTAACAGATTTGGATATACACTGCCTCTTTTTTTAATTTAGTGGAGCACAGCCAGGCTTCATTTGCACGTTCTAGCGCTACCTTTCCATATGTGCAGATATATTTTCCAGGACTCAGCATTAAGCACTCTAGATTTAAAGCACTTGTGTGACTTTTCCCAGACCCAGTCTCTGTATGCTTCTGTTCCCCTTCATTGTGCATCTGTTCCTTATGCAGGCTGAGTTTCGAAGCCCAGAGGAAAGAATAATGTATGATCGCATCATTGTAGCATTTGTCAGAATACTTATGCTTCAGAAGAAGCAGCAAATATCTGGATTTAGTAAATCTCAAGAAGTAGAGACTGCCATTTATGTTTTCTTTCAGTCTAGGTATAAAAGTTCCTTTTTTTTTTTTTTTTTGAGAAAGGAGTTACAAGGTTTTGTTTTAATGTGAAGTTACAACAGCTTCCTTGTGTATGTATGTATTGGCGTTTTAGGAATCATAGGAGAATTCAGGATGAAATGGACCTCGAGGTGGCATCTGGTCCAACCTCATTCTTAAAGCAGGATCATCCATGAGGTCAAAAGAAAAAAAAAAGTCTTTCTGGCCCATGTGGGGTTTAATGTAAGCTGTGAGGTGGGGAAATGGGCTAGATGACCTTCTGAACTTCCTCTGATTTTTTTTTTATTTATAGTTATAAATATTTTTTTAAATTATATAATAATTTGTATAAATGATATAATTTTCCATTGTCGAAAGCGGATTACATCCTTCATTGTCTTCATATGGCAGTACACATGTCCACAGTGCTGTAAAGGACTTTATATGAGAGCTGATAGCTACTGAAAGGCCACAAAGTGGGCCAACGGAATGGGAGAGGCAGCCCACCCCCTTCATGGTCTTTGGAACCAGAGGAGGAGCTGACATCTCCAGGATAAGGTGTTGGTGGCAGGTTGCTGCAGTCCTGTGCAAGTGCACAGAGGGATAATTGCAGGAGCCCTCTTCCTTCCTCTCTGAGAGGTGCTTGGGGGAGGCCACTTTGCAGGAATCAAGGAGAAATGTGATTTAATTTTTTTTTTTTTTTTTTTTTTTTTTTTTGTGATGGTGGGTGGGGTTTTTTTGTTTTGGTGTGTGGGGGGGTGGTTTGCTTTCTTTTTTTATTAGCCCTTCCTTCCTTCCCCTTGCCTGGTGATGGCAAGCATTTCCAGTGTTATACAGCCATTGCTGTTTTGTTGGTAATGCAGTGTAGTTCTTTAAACTATATTATGCTCATTTAGCATATAACCAGAAATTCCTTGAGCATCATGAGTACAAGAAAGGAAATACTGTGAAAGGAGGGCTTGGGTTTTGGGGTTTTTTGTTTGCTTTTTTAACCAGCTTGTAACTTGGCTAGAGGGAAGTAGAACTTCACGAGACAAGCAGGAGACTGTTGCCTTATCTAATGGCTTTCAGAAACCTCCTGCAAACAGTGGAAGTGTTAAAACTTCTCAGAACACTGTTCCAGGAGCCTTTGTGTAACAGTAACTTGAGTAAAACTCTTTGGAAATCTTTAACTTGACGTTGAGCTTGAGACTGGATTTTCCACTTTGCTGTTTCAACTCCACGTGGCTGATTCTCAGCAATGCTAGTTTTGTTTTTAAGAATGTGGTCTCTATCCATGACCAGTGAATCTTAATGCTTCAGTGAGAAGTTTTCTTTCACATTCCTTTCTGCTTTCTCTCTTCATGCCTCTGCTCTGTGCCTTTGAGATTTCTACTGCTACCCGGTTGCAAAATGGGATAAACGTGAACCAGTCTCTGGGGCAAAGGTGCACCCAGCAGAACATTGGCGGTGGTAATGTTGCAGCTCAGGTTGCAGGGTCTCTTTGCAGTTCAGTATAAAGTGATACATAATTGGCTTGCAAGCATTTTCATGTGGGTGGCAGCATATGAAGATAACTGTATATGAGTTTGTCTGTGGTTTGGGAAAAGCTCTAGAGAGCAGCAAGTTGGTGTTCTGAAGCTCATCTGGGAAGGAAGAATAACATTTCTTCTCATGGTTTTTGTCAGTTTAGGAAGCAGTAACAACTTTTCCTTCATATTACCCTCATGATCAAGCTGGCTCATTGGAGAGTGGAGGAGAAGGCAGAAAAGCGTAAGGTCCCATCTGTTAACCGGGAAGGACATGTAGGAAGCAGTTGAAGATTTAGATGCTAGGTATACAGAGCTTTATATGAAGTGATTCTTGAAGCTAAGTCCAATGGGCAGAGTAATGTAAAAATCCAAGGAAAGTATATCAGAAAATGCAATAACATAGTGATGAGTGGGGCTTGCAATTGTTGTCTGTCTTCTTCATGAAGAACTTGGCATAAACACAGATTAATGGCAGTGGAGTGTTAATTAACTCAAGTTAATGTGATGGGAAAATTTCAGAGGTAACTATTATACTGCTGATCCCTTTAATGAAATAGTTCACCAATGAACTTAATTTTGATACCTATATATCAAGCATTCTCTTGCATAAAAGGTTTTGATGCTGCCATGATTGCGCGATTGTTCCAGCTGGAGTGTTCCTTGGACTTCTCCTTTCTTCCCTGGTGCTTAACACCAGTGTCTCTAAGCCCAGAGACTTTTCTTTATTTTTTGGCCAATAGCCAAGAAGCTTAAATCTGTCTCAGTTTAGAGGGAGCTCAAAGGATTTCTCCAAATCCAGTCAGACTGGCACTCTTTGAAAGCCATGTGCCTAATAGTCACTTTAGTTCATTTTAACCACTAGGCATTTTTAGGCACTGGGCAACCTTAAACTGGCTTTATTCTAGCAAAACAGGGAGGTTAATTCTTTATTAGAAAACTGGAAACTACAGAAAATGGCATCAAATAGAAAAACAATTCTAAATAACACTTGCTAGTAAGACTATTCCTGAGCTGCATCCAAGTTGTAGCTAGTTTGTAGACCTTTGGAGCGCTCCGATTGCTTTTTCTAGGGGCTACCCATGGAACTGGTTGAAGTGTTTGAGCTCCCTACCTTTTTCCTTGTGGTGAGCTCTCCTTTTTATGTCTCCCATTTGCTTAAAATTCCTTCCTGCTTTTGGCAAAAGCAATCCAGTATTAGCAGCGTGGAAATTTTTGTATCAAACATGGCTTTGACTGATTTTTTTCTCCCTTGTTTCCTGTGAGTGGGTGACTCCATCTTGTCTGAGCATTTTTGAATTTGTATTGTCTTTATATAGGTATACCCTATATAGGGGTATATGTCTATATATGTATATGCATGCGCACGTGTATTTATACCTTTGTGTGTGTGTATGTATATAAAAGTCGTTTTGAGTACTGGCTACGTATTAATCATGTTTGACTAATAATTTCTAGTTTAAGAAAGCTCAAAGAGAGCACATAATATATATATTAGTAAGACAGGCTTGGCATTCAGGTTGCTTCTATAAACTATTTCCTCCTTGGTTCTTTCCTTTTGTAAGTTTACAGACATTTGTCAGACCTGTTGGATAGCTCAGTTCTTTCAAAAGTGTTTTCCTTCATGAATTTTCCAGAATAAATTATGATTTTTTTTTTCTTTTTTTTTTTTTTACGAGGCTGTGTGAGATACCTGATATCAGGGCACTGACTTTTGTAGCTGTAGTAGTCCAAAAACCTGTAATAATAACTGGTGGGATGAACCAGAGGGGAAGGAAGGACAACCAAATAATGGGCTGAGTTGTGTATGGAAGATTTTCTTCGTGGAAGTAGTCACAAGTCTTTTCCATGCTATATTTCTGTGATTTGTGGGTTTCTAGGTAATCCTTGAAGAAAATGGGCAGGATTATAGGGCTAGCCAACTATGTTTGATAGTTTTGGTATTCTGCCTTAGGATAAGGTCTTGAACAAGATGCCTGGTTTGCCTGTCAGTTTGCCACTGGGAGATCAGACTGTATTAGGAAGGCATACAGTTCTGGGTTGATTTTTTGCTACTTTTCCTTAATTGCAGGAACTGCCTTGCATTTAGCATGATATATAAATGTAAACATTGATTTACTGAAGCAGGGGGAGATGGTCTTGCAGCCTCTCCTTTTTAGCCTAATGCTGCTGAGAACCCTTTGAGCCGTGCCACAAGGAAAGAGCAGACATGAACATACCAAATAATCCCTCTGGCTCCTTTGCTGAGAGTATTCCCCAGTGTTTTATAGCACAACCTAACTTCTTAAATCAGTGGCTGCTGAGTAAAATTATTCAGCTGTGTAAAACCTGAAATGAGTTCCTAATTCCCATTTCCCCCCCGCCCCCAATTCTGGTTTAGATCTTTCTTTGTGGTATTTCATAACTGTTGGGTTTTCTTGTGTGGATGTTTTCAAGTGTTTAATAGTCTGATCAATCCGCATCTGTGCCTAAAAGAGGAAGACAAGTCACTGGAGAGATTTGTTCCTGCATCATATCATATAAAAGTAAAGTAAATACATTTTTTTATTGAGTAATTGCATCTCTGGTTATGTAACTTTTTTCCCCCCTCTTGAAGGTGGTTTGGCATTCAGAGGAGTCAAAGAAAGCATGTATGGAAGCATAGAGAGATCACAAATAGGGAATATGCTGACTCTTTTTTGGAGGCTGAGCTCGCCCTTCTGCATGCTCTAATTGATTTCTAGTCTTATTTAGCCTTAGCTGTAAGGGCACGCAGCCAAAAGTCTATGCAGGCTCAGAACGGAAATTTACTCCCATAGACTTAGACTGAGTTTTAAAATAAACATGCAGGAGATACATGCTGAGCTGCATCTATAAGCTGCTATGCACTATCTCACGTGCGCTTTGGCAGCAGTGAATTAAACTGCAGTGAAGAAA